GAGTCAGAGGGCGTCACATTCAGGGAGGACGTCACAGTCAGGGAGGATGTCACAGTCAGGGAGGGCGTCACAGTCAGAGGATGTCACAGTCAGGGAGGGCGTCACAGTCAGAGGATGTCACAGTCGGGGAGGGCGTCACAGTCAGGGAGGACGTCACAGTCAGAGGGCGTCACAGTCAGGGAGGATGTCACAGTCAGGGAGGGCGTCACAGTCAGAGGACGTCACAGTCAGGGAGGGCGTCACAGTCAGAGGATGTCACAGTCAGAGGACGTCACAGTCAGAGGATGTCACAGTCAGAAGGCGTCACAGTCAGGGAGGACGTCACAGTCAGGGAGGACATCACAGTCAGGGAGGGCTTCACAGGGAAGATGAAATTTGAGTTAAGTCTCAAGGGATTGCTGTCACTTAGCTTTCTTTGTTGTTTTGTGCTGCCAAGTAAATTCCCTCACAGCCTCCATAGAGGACAGAGTAGAATGTCCCCACTGGGTTTTATAGTCTGGAATCTTTATGGTAGCAGATCACCAGGTCTTTTATCTCAGTGGATTTGAACTGCTGACCTTTTGATTTAGCAACTAAGCGCTAAATTGTTTTGCTACAAAATCCCTCTTAGCAACAAGTAGAGGAGTGAGAAGAGCACGGTGGAAAGAGAAACAACGCGAATCAAAGTGTGGAGTAAAGAAAGCAGAATTCTTGGACCAGTGAATCAATTACCCTGACTGTATTGACTACTGAAAGCGTTTAGGGAGCTGTGATTGACAAGGTCAATCTATGGTATGGTTGTACTGTGGTGGGTCCTGAATAAGAAGCTCTGCAGTGCTGTGGTTTAGGTATGGGGCTGCTGACCCCCAGGTTAGTGGTTTAAACCCATGGTGGGAGAGACATAAGGCTGTCTGCTCCTGTTAAGATTTACAGCGTTGGGCTGCTATAAGTTGGGATAGACCTGGCAATGTGTTTGGTTTTGTCTTTTGCGTGTTTTGAATGCCAAGCCCAATCATTTGCTCTCCCCGTCTTCTCCCAGAAGGCTAGGGAGAGCTATTAAAAGAATACCTAGAAAAGATGACAGTACACCAGAAGGTTAAAATCTATGATCAAGGAATCTTGGCTACCTGTCACCTTTGCCAGGTACTTCTTTGCTGCGAATCCTCTTTCAAGGTTGTTTTCTCCTCCCCCAGGTGACTCTGAGTGTCTTTGAGCTGGCCTCTGCTGCAGGGGTGGGCTGTGACATTGACCCAGCACTGGTGGCTGCCATTGCCAATCTGAAAACTGGTAAGAGAAGGACAAGGGGGCAAGGGAGGGCTTGGACCCTATTTTTGGGTCAGAAAATGTCAATGTCAAAGAGGTCTTTATTTGGGGTTGAGAATCTGTCTGGGAGCTAAAGAAAGATTTAAAGTACAGACACTAGCCCCCAGAAAACACAGAGGCAATTTAGATTTCTCCTCAGGTTCCAGAAAATTGATCTATCAATCAGCTAAAAATATTAAGTGAGAGTCTTGTGCTTAGCAAGGGCTCAGAGGAATTTACAATCTGGTTAGGGAAATAATATTAATGCAAATCTGAGAAAACAATACAAAATAGTGTATGATTGCTGCTAAGTTTGCCATGCTGTCAAGACTTGAGTGTTGCTGTAATGCTGACTGTTATGTTGCCAGTATTTCACATATCAGCCAGCTCACCTATGGTGAATAAGGTTCAGTAGAGTTTCCAGAGTAGGACAGACTACAAAGATGGATGATCTACTTCTTTAAAACATGGCTAGTGGAAACCTTTTGAATGGCAGCAGAACATTTCTGATACAGGGAAGGTACTGAATCTGGAAGATTGGAAGGTACTGAAAATGTCACTGCTAAAGAGCTGCGTTCTCAAAGTAGCATCAGCTGTGATAACGTGGATGGAGTAAACTCTGGGAGGGAGCTCCATTTGCTGAGGTAGCATGATGACTCAAAATGAGAAGAATCAGCTGCGTACATCCATTAATAAGCAGAGTGTAGAATGTATGAAGTGTGACTTTGGAAAATTGGAAGTTGTAAAAAAGAAATGGAATGCATAAAGATCAATGTCCTGGATGTTAGTGAGCTGAAACCTACTGGTGTTGACAATTTGAATCAATAATCATATTTTACTATGCCAAGAATGGCAAAGAGAACTGATGTCACATTCATCAGAAAAAAAGAACATTTCAAGACCGTTCCTGAAGCACAATGCTGTCAGTGACAGGACAGTATCTATATCTCAGTTAATATGACTATTAACTATTATTCAAATGTATGCATTAACAACTAATGCCAAAGATGAATTGATTATTTTTTTCCTAACTTCTGTGGTCTAAAATTGATCAACATGCAATCAAGATGCATCGATACTGGAGATAGACTGAGAAAGAAAAAAGAAAGATCAGTAGCTGGGAAATATGACCGTGGTGATAAGAATAATGTTGGAGATTGCATGGCAGAATTTTGTAAGACTGACAACTTATTCATTGGAAATGCCCTTTGTCTTAAAAATAACAACTATACACTATGAATCAGAGTGGGTTTCTGTTTTATACACTTGAACCTCACTAGGTGGAATGCAAATTGGCAACATCTGTGGAAAGAATGATGGAGATGCTTAGTATTATTAGAGCAAGGCCAGAGGCTGACCATAAATTAGTCATATGCAAGTTCAAGTTGAAGCTGAAGAAAATTAAAACAAATCCACAAGAGCCAAAGTATGAACCTGTGTATATTCCACCTGAATTTAAAGACCAATTCGAGAATCAATTTAAAGCATGTAGTCCTCGTGACCAGAAAAGTTGTAGGATGACAGAAAGGGCATCATAGATGAAGAAAATAAAAGGTCATGAAGAAGACCTGAAAAGAAAGTAAAAACCAGAGTGGAAAGGGGGAACCGATGACAGGGATCGACATAGAACATCCTCCCCGGGGGACGGACAGCAGAAAAGTGGTGAAGGGAGATGTCGGACAGGCCAAGATATGACAAAATAATAATAATTTATAAATTATCAAGGGCTCATGAGGGAGGGGGGAGCAGGGAGGGAGGGGGAAAATGAGCTGATGCCAGGGGCTTAAGTGGAGAGCAAATGTTTTGAGAATGATGAGGGCAACGAATGTACAAATGTGCCTGACACAATTGATGTATGTATGGATTGTGATAAGAGTTGTATAAGCCCCCAATAAAATGATTTTTTAAAAAAGTAAAAACCAAAATAAATGTCAGAAGAGACCCTGAAACTTGCTTTTGAACACAGAGTATCTAAAAATAATAGAAACATTGATGACATAAAACAGGAGATTTCAAAGGGCAGCTTGAGAAGACCAAGTAAAATATTAGAGTGAATTGTGCAAAAACCTATAGTCAGAGAGGCAAAAGAGAAAAAACACACTTGACATTTCTCAAGCTAAAGTTTCTAAAGAAAAAATTCAAGCTTTGAGTTGAAACACTGAAGGGCAAGAGATTGAAGATGCAGGAAGCATCAGAAAAAAAAAAAAGACGAAGATGAAGCGCATGCATGGAACCCTGTACCAAAATAATTGGTCACTATGCAACCATTTCAGGAGGAATTACAAGAAGTTCAAGATATTTTGAAGGCTCTAGAAATTGATGAATACCAACAGATATTTCAACAAAGGGATGCCATGCTGGTAGTGCTTGTTTGCCTTCTGCCAAGAAATTTGCTAGATAGCTACCTAACCAATGGACTGGGAGAGATCCATATCTGTGCCCATTCCAAATAAAGATGATCTAACAGAATGTGGAAATTTTCAACAGTACCATTAATATTACATGCAAGTAAAATTTTACTGAGGATAATTAGAAAATGGCTGCAACAGTACCTTGATAGTGCACTGCCAGAAATTGAAGTGTGATTCAGTCGAGGACATGCAACAAAGGATTCCACTGCTGATGTCAGATGTATCTTGGTTGGAAACAGAGAATACCAGAAGGATGCTTACCTGTGTTTCATTGACTATGCATTGATGTTCAAGTGTGTGGATGGCAACAACTTAACATTGCAATGAATGAGAATCCCCCAAGCAATTGTGATCATGTGGCACCTGTACATATAGAACAGGGGGATACTGAGTGGTTTAGAATCAAAAAACGTTGTGCATCAGGATTGTATTCACCATATTTTCACTCTACTTACTCAATGTGTATGCTAAGCAAATAATCGGAGAAGCTGGACTTTCTGAAGCAAAACTCAGCATCAGGATTAGAGGAAGATTAATTAATATCCCGTGACATGCAGATGGCACAACCTTGCTTGCTGAAAGCTAAGAAGACTGGAATCACTAACTGCTGAACATCAAAGTCTGTAGCCTTCCGTATGGATGATTCCTGCCATCAAGTCAGCGCCTGGTGACCCCCTGTGGCTTTCTGAGACGGTAACTGTTTATGGGAGTGGAACCTCCAGTCTTTCTCCCAAGGATCTTCTGGCGGTTTTGAACTGTTGGCCATGAGGGTCACAGCCCAACTTGTAGCCATTACACCACCAGGGCCCCACCTCAACATAAAGACAAAAAGTCCTCATAACTGTACCAATAAGCAGCATCTTCACAAACAGAAAATAATGAAGTAAAGATTTAATTTTTCTTGGTCTACAATCGGTGCTCATGGACACAGCAGTCAGGAGATCAAAAGATGCATTGCAAATCTGCTGCCTGAACCTCTTTAAAGTGTTAAAAAGCTAAGATGTCCCTTTGAGGACTAAGGAATGTCTGACCCAAGACATGGTGTCTTCAGTTGTCTCATGCATGTGAAAGCTGGACAATGAATAAGGAAGATAAAGGAGGATTGATGCTTCTGAATTGCAGTGTTGCCCAAAGTGGGAAAGACTTCCCCACTTGGGGCACTAGAACAACCCAGGGCGCGGCGCTGCAAAAGCAGATATCTACATTTTATCTTGGATTATGGACTACACTATGAAAGTGTTGAATTTTTCTGTAAGGGGGTGGGTGGTAGGTCAAATCAGTATGGAAACCTATGAACTATGGTGTTGATGAAGAATGCTGGGTATACAAGGAGCTGCCAGAAGGACAAACAAATCTCTTGGAAGAACAGCCAGAAGGCGTCTTAGAAGCCAGGATGGCAAGACTTTGCCTTATGTATTTCGACTTGTTATCAGGAGTGATCAGTTTCTGGAGCAGGACAACATGTGACGTCATCAAGGTCAATGAAAAAAAGGAAGACCCTCAGTGAGATGGATTGATGTAATGGCTCCAGTAATAGTCTCAAACATAGCAACAGTTGTGAGAATGGTCTGGAGTAAGCAGTGTTTCATTCTGTTGAATATAGGGTCATTAGGAGTTGGAACTGTCAATGACAGCAGCAGCAGCAAGACTGGGGTCTGCCCCTTCACAAGGGCCAGACACAGCTCCTTTCCCTCCTCTCTTGCTAGGTGAGAACCATCCTTCTGTTCTTCTCGGCTCCTGCTTCCCCACTACATCCAGCAACTGGGAGAGTGACTTTGGGACAGCATTTCAGCAGAATCTTTAGCTAAGAACTCTGCTCAGTCCCCAGAGGAGCCTCCAGGCCTCAGTACCCTTATTGTATGTGGACGCTAGTCTAGTCTTTTTCAGTAATCATAACTTTCCTGGTTGTTAGGGACCATCGGGTTGGTTCCAACCCACAGCAACCTTCTGTACAACAGAATGAAACACCGCAGAGTCCTGCGCCAGCCTCACAATTGTTCCTGAGCCACTTGTTGCCACCACGGTGTCAATTCATCTCGTGGAGGACCTTCCTCTTTTTCCCTTCCCTGCACTTCACCAAGCATGATGTCTTTCTGCAGGGGCTGCCATCCCCTAGCGTGCTTTATAAAATGTTTTCCATCTCGTAGCATGGTCCTCCTATAGACGAGAATGCCTAGTTGTTGATCTCATTTACTTTTCTCTTTCCTCGCACCAGATACGTCATCCTCTGAAGAAGAATATAAGGTGGCCTGCCTGCTCTTGATCTTCGTTGCAGTTTCCCTCCCGCTCCTTGCCTCAGATCCCTCTTCCTTCTATAGCATTGAGAAGGATGGTAAGTATGGAGCAGGTTGGAGGGACCAGTGCTATCTAACTTAGTGTTCCAGGGGTAGGGGGTGAGAGAAAGGCATTTTTCTGGAAGATACAGACTTCTGACTCAGAAGTAAAGCCATGTTCCAAAAAATCATCTGAGAATGAGCACTCCATAAAATTAAATTCCAGTGAAATTTCTTTGGAATACTTCTCCTCCCCCTACCCCCAATCCCAGTGCCTTCTAACCCGTTTGGTGTCAATCAGGGATCAGTCTGAAAAAGTGAGAAATTACCAGTTGGAATCTACTGGAGTGGCTTACTTTGTCATTTCATTTTGTTTCTCTCCCTCTATCACCCATAACCTAGGTTACAACAATAATATTCACTGCTTGACCAAAGCCATCATCCAGGTGTCTGCTGCCCTCTTCACACTTTACAACAAGAACATTGAAACTCACCTCAAGGAATTTCTGGTGGTGAGTTGGGTCTCAGTTGTATAGAATGGAGGATTGCAAGGCCTGGTGGGACTTGCCTTAAATCTATGGACTGTTACTGCTGAATAGGTCTTTGCAATCGTCTACTCTCTCATGCACTTTGCTCAATCAATAGGGAGCATGTACTTTGTGAATTGCAGAAGTTTCTTCTAAATTCCCAAACAGTTGGTATTTCAGTCTGTACCTCAATGCTTGAGGAGCCCTGCTGGCACTTGGCTGCTAACAAAAAGGTTGGTAGTTTGAAACCACCAGCTGCTTTGTGTAAGAAGGCAGGCCTGATAATATCTATGGAGAAATAAGCCAGTGAGAACCCTGTGGAGCACAGCTCTACTCTGACACACATGGGCTTGTCATGAGGCAAAGCAACTGGCTTGGTCTTGGTGAGGGTGAGTATAGTCTTCTGCATTTTTAATCAATTCTTCAGGTGATCAGATGCGCATCAAAGTTGGAGAGACATTGACTATTATCATCTATAAGGTCCTTTTCCAACCCTATTACTGGGCAATCATCAGTGACTACTATCTCAGTTATCGCCTGCTTCTATAACAGAATTACCTCAAGTGGATGATTTTATTTATTTATTT